ATTCACCAATCCTGGCCTCTCAACTATCCCCCGCCACCCATCATCCCACCACTGGGGGGGCGTGGCTCCAGTTGTCCTGAGCTCTGGAATTCCCTCCCAAAAACTCTTCCACATCCGTGTCGGCCTCTCTCTTTGTCTATCTATCTGTCTGCCCGTCTGTCTCCGAGCTTCTGTGGCCAACCCTAGTGTGGCATGATGTCAAATTGTGTGTCTGATAGTCATTTCTGGAAAGCACTTGGGGATATTTTAACTCTGGAAAATTATGGTGCCCTATGTGAATTGGTACAAGGTTCCTCCTGCCTGTACTTGTTGGGTCTTGGCAATCCACTAAGGTTCGAGTTGATTTCTGTTCATGGCGCTCTGCTGCCTGTAATCGTTTATTACTCCAGCTGAGGTTTGACCTTTTGTGGTCTGTTGGGTTTTTTTCTGGGCAAAGTTGGTGACTCCCCTACTTCTTGTACCTGACTGACCGGTGAGTTGAGTTCCCCACTCCCACTCCCAGGAAGCATCCAAGGGAAGGGCTCTGACATGGTGAAAGATCTCCTGAAAATGTCATCTCCCAATGCCCCTTCGCAGCCAATCAAATACTTAGCTGGGACCACATTTTTTGCAGTAGTGTTGGAAATGTGGCAGCTGGTTGGTGCACAGTAGGATCCCAGCAGCAGCTGGGTGCGGATGGTCCATTCCTCCTGCCCCTCTCGGTGAGTTTGGGCGAGGGTTAAAACCCAGGCAGGTCCCCCACCCCACCCTACCCCACCCTAACCCTGCCTTGCTTTAGTCGCTGTGGGGCCTATCTATGGCTCCAAAGAGAGATTTAACAGGAATAACATTTGCATGTAGTAGTGCAGTAAAGCTTTAAGATTTCTTGAAGTTAGTGAGAAAGCCGCTATTGGTGTTTGGGTAGGGTTACAATGATCTTTGTTTTCATGTTGACTTGCTCCATGCCACAGAATGGAAAACAAACTAAACTGGTTAGTCCAGGGAAATTCTTTTTGCCGAGAGATAACAAGGTGTAGAGCTGGATGAACACAGCAGGCCAGGTAGCATGAAACCCACTGAGCCAGTTGTGTGTGACAGCTCCATCGGTTTTGAGCAGTGCCCTGTCTCAGGATGACTCACTGCTGTTTCCACACCTGCTATTTTTACGTCTGTTCCGTGTCTGTACGTTATCGGGAATCTGAAACCCTTTCAGTCAGGTTGTTTTTAGATTTGTCTGTCTAGTTTCCCCGCTAACATGTTCTCCTTATCGAGGAGGTCTGAGAGCTCCCCTCTCCCAAGGGAATGGGAGCAGGCCATTCAGCCCCCTTTTTGAACCTGTTTTGCTAGCCCTAGAGCTTGACTGGTATGTTCCTTTGCTCTTGTAATCCAACATAAAGCTACCGCTCTTTGTTTGTAGGTTTTCAACTGAGTGCCAGTGTTTCTTTGGTGGGGGATGGCATGTGGGAACAGTTCTGGATTTCAATTCTCCTTCATGTGATCAAGTCACGTCACCCCCACATAAACTGGCTCGGATTTTAACAGTTTCCGATCCTCTCTTGCTGTGTCCTGGACTTATCAAATCATTTACCAGTAAAATCATTCACTAATACAGTACAGAAAAAGACCCTTCGACCCCCTCATCTCAGGTGCTGGCCTAGCGGATCAATCTGCTTTTATTTCATTGATCAAAAATATCCACAAGGAGATAGGTCAACTAGTTCAGGCACAGAATCATGAAGTATTATAGCATAGATAGAGGCCCTTCGGCCCATTGAGTCTGCTTCTGCCATCAAGCACCCATCTATTCTAATCCCATTTCCCAGCACTTGTCCCTAGCACTGCATGCTTTGGAAGTATTCACAGAATCCCTACGTTTGGCCCATCAAGTCTGCACCATCCCTTTGAAGAGCAACCTGTAATCCTTCATTGGTTGTGACCAATACACCCACCTTGCATGTCCCTGGACGCTATGAACAATTTATAATGGCCAAGCCACCTAACCTGCACATCTTTGGGCTCTGGGAGGAAACCAGAGCACCCGGAGGAAACCCGCTCAGCTTCCGTGAATGCTAGGACTGACATATGAGGAGAGATTGACTAGGTTAGGACTGTTTTTCATTTGAGCTCCAACAAATGAGAAGGAGACCTCAGAGACTTAACATTCTAACAGGACTGGACAGGGTAGATACAGGAAGGATGTTCCTGATGGTGGGTGTGTCTAGGACCAGGGGTCAAAGTATGAGGATTCGGGGTAGATGATTTCGGATGGAGATGAGACATTTCTTACCCAAAAAGTGGTGAGCCTGTAGAATTCATTATCACAGGAAGTAGTTGATGCCAAAACATTGAATATATTCAAGAGGTGACTAGATATAACACTTTGGGTGAATGGGATCAATAGTTATGAGGAGAAAGCAGGATTAGGCTATTGAGTTGGACAATCAGCCATGTTTGTGAAGAATGGCTGAGCAGCACCTTCTATGCACATTCTCCTAGTGTCATAGAAACAAACTCCACGCAGACAGTTGCCTGAGGGTGGCATCGAACCTGCTGCTGTGAGGCGGTAGATCTAACCGCTGAGTTACCATGAACATTGAAATATTTCTTAAATGTAGTGATAGCCCTAGCATCTTAGCCTTCCTTCACACCAGTGAGATCGAGATGACCCGTCAGATTCTGTGTGGGAAAAGAAAAATCTTCTTCAAATTGCCTCTCAACATCCTTCCATCTACCTTTCTAAATCTGTGCCCCTTGTTCTGGACTCTCTACTCCAGCGAAATGCTTTTTCAGATCTAGAACTTTGCAATCCTCAATCAGGTTCTCCCCCCCCTCAGCCTTTTCTGCTCCAAAGAGAACAAAATCACCCGATTATAGTCTCTCTTCGCAGCTGAGTTCCTCCAGCTTGGGCCACATCCTGATAAATCCCCACGTTGGTGTGTTCGCATCCTTTCTGTAGTCTGCCAAACCACTTCAAAGCCCTCTCACAGCTTTCCCCTTCTTCATCTCTGCTGTTGGAATAATAGACGCTCTCGCTCTCTCTGTGTAATTAACCCTCTCCGGTCTTTGTATTGTTTTGGGGAGAAATCACAACACCCAATTGGCCTAGAACTGGAATGCTATTAACCAATCCAATATGTGTGTGTACCATTTTAAAAAGCTAACAACCCAACTCCCCGGAAAACACCCAGTTGGTTGGCGCTTTGTAAAACTCGAGGACAAGAGTACAAGCAAGGAAGCTATTACACATCCTTGCAAAGTGCAGTACTGGTGTCTGTCAGAATCTTATTCCTAGTTCTCGGCACTGTTCTTTAGGGAAGGATGTCAAAGATTTGGAGAGAATGCAGAAAACAATTAAATGAGGCTGTTCCCAGGCACAGGTGACTTTAGTTACGTGGATAGGTTGTGGAAGTTGGGACTGTTATTCTCCTGAGAAGGGAAGGTGGGGTAGGGACAGATTTGAAATGGGTGTTTGAAATCAGGAGGTGCCTGGAGAGAATAGATGGGGTGAGTCTGTTGCCGTTGGCCAAAGGATTGAGGATGAGAGGGTTCAGCTTTAAGGTGATTGCTGATGGGACCTTTAGGAAAAACTTTTTTTTTAATTATTCACTTGTGGGACCTAGGCATCAGCGTTTATTCCCTGTCCCTTGTGCCTACTCCAGAGGTGTGTAATAACACATATTAACAATTGCAACATAAAAGTAATATTCAGGGGAACCCTTGGTCATCAGTCTTGTACGTGATGGCGTTCCAAATGCTAGGAATTGGGTCGCGAGTAGATAGGTGCTTGATGATTGGAGTGGACTCAATGGGCTGAAGGGCCCCTTTCCAGACTGTAATACTTTACAACTCTGCATCTGAACAGGTTGTTTAAAAATAGCTGCAAGGAGACAGGTCAAGTGCTGGGAAATGGGATTAGAGTAAATAGGTGCTTGATGAGGAGCTGAGAGATCATGGGCTGAGGGGCCTGTTTGGTGTAGTGAATGGCTGGGAACTGGAATGTACTGCCTGAGAGTGAGGCGGAGGCCGCTCCAACTGAGGTGTTTGAGAGGGAGGGGGCCGTGGAGGAATATACTTGTGTGCACTCTCGCTCCTTCGCGCTTTCTCTCTCTTGCGTACTCTCTCATGTTCTCTCTCGCGGACTCTCCCATGAGAGTTCCTTTTGAATCTTTTGATCAGTCAATGTCCCTCAGTCCACGGTCATGTATGCATGATCTTTCAATGAAATATGGAAACATATTGAGACCACTCAGTCCACTCTCACTTGGTTGGGTGCGCTGTGTTCTTATGGGGAGGGGTGTGATTTTCCTAGTTGACTGTATCAGGAACTGTGTGGTGTCACTGAGTGACGCTGCTACATTTATCTGTGTGTGTGTGAGAGGTGTGTGTGTGTGTGTGTGTGTTGGGAGTGGGGGGGAGTTGGCGGTGGCGTTGGGGGGGGGGAGATGGTGAGGCTGTATTGTGAATGTCATCTCCAGACCGTATCTATTTATCGCAGACCGTGAAAGGACTGTAATGCCCTTCTGGTCCTGATAACAGTGTCTAAGGTTTACTCGAGATCCAGTGAAATGTCAGAAGGAGTTTGAGGGACAGTTATTCTACACAGGTTCACCCCTAGGCCACAGAAGGAGATGATGGGGATGGGACATTGGGTCACAGTGCTGAGAGGCAGTTGTGGGGAGGTGTAGGTGTGAAGAGTAAGAGCGAGGGAGATGGACAGGTTTAAATGGTGAAATCCTTAGTTCAGGGCAACCGAAGGCATGGCCCCCACTGGTGGAGCTGGAACTGGAGGGGGTTACAGAGACAGGGAGGGGTTGTAGGGGCCGGAGGAGGTTACAGAGACAGGGAGGGGGTGTAGGGGCTGGAGAATATAGAGGATTATTTTACTCTGTATCTAACCCCGTGCTGTCCCTGTGTTTGATCAGGTCAGTGTCAAAGGAGCTTTTACTGTCAGTCGAAAAGAGTAGCGACTGGGCCATGATTCCTTTGCTCTCTATCTTTTGTTTTTGCCGTCCATCTCTCAGAGACCCCAATGGAATCGGGGTCCACGACCGGAGCAATTGTAGGTGGGATCATCGCAGCGATCGTTATCCTGACTGTGCTGGTGACAGCTGTTCTCATCTTCAAGAGGCAGAGGAAGAACACCGACGCGGATGAAGACGAGTGAGTGTTGGAGCACGTGCGCTTTGAGCTTCGAGCTCCCTGACTTCCATCCCCAGGACAGAGGCGTTGAAACTCTGACCCCTGCCCCCCAAACCTTCCGGGTCCCTGGATTAGCACCCAGTGCTGGCTGAATGGACATGTCGCACTGTCTTTCCCAACACCCCCCCCCACCCCACAATGATCTTTGGATGTGGAGCGGTCCCACACTAACTTCCTTCCCAGGCCAAAACCACGTTTCCAACCCTTGAGAAATCTTCCAATTGGCGGATGGAAGGGGTGGCATTTGGATCGGTCTGGCCAAGCCCGAGCCAGGAACCCAGTGCCAGAGAATGATCTCCATCTCCTGGCCATCGAGCAAAGCTTTGTCCTGTAGCTGAGTAGCTCCATACCACCTACATTGTAATATCCAGCTTGAGTGGTTTCTGGCCTAACAGGTTGAAAGTGATGTTCTCGTTGTGTGTGGTGACCTTGAGGGCTAAGATAGTGGGTGTACTCCACACCTCAACATCACGTGTGCTGCCTCACTCTCTCCTGAGCGGCCCACGCTGCTGGCTAATGGCTATATAAGAATGCAGCTCCTTTCCTGTCAGTGCTAAGCCCCTCCCTACTCCCAATAAGTTCACCTCTGAGCCATTGGCGGCCTAACTAACTCTGGTCACCTTCCCAGAAACCCCAGCAACTGGGCTGCACTTTGACCCCGCATTCCACATTCCTTTCCTTTACAGGCCCACCCAGGAAGGCAGGGTGAGGAGGGGGGAAGTGGAGAGGAAGTGGCGTCTCTTCCAACGTTTCACCACCCCCCCCCACCCCGAGCCCCTACAAGAGAGGAGACTCAAATCATTTAGCCCCATCTTTGTCTCCTTTCCGTCTCGCGCACAGAAAGAGAGCAGCCCAGAAACTTTGACCCTTCTCCCCGCTCTTGGGCATCCAATTCCATCAAAGTTGTTTCCCACTGTGTGTCTCGTTCTTTCATGCCGCCTCGCTCCCCGTCCCTAATTGCCCTCCTGACCGCGTGTCTCTTGTATCCCTCTGGGTGCCACATCAGAGGGCAGTTAATGAGTTGGCCATGGTGCTGTGTGTGGTCTGGAGTCACACGTACATCAGAAGCAGACTTCCTTTCCTGTTTTTTTTTGGGGGTCTTTGTGTTTTTTTTAACGACTGTTGACGCGAGCTGTCATGGCCCCTCTTTCAGAGACTTGACTTTTGATTCCAGATTTGTGTACGTGAATGGAAACCGGCCCCCTCATCGTCACGGTGAGTTTGTTTTGGTGCGGCCAGTCCACCTAACCTGCACGTCTTTGGACTGTGGGAGGGAGCCCGCACGGAGACTGGGAGAACGTGCAAATCCCACGCAGACAGTAGCCGGAGGGTGGAATCGTACCTGGGTCCCTAACGCTGTGAGGAACTTACAAATGGCCTCAATCTGCACTGCAGGGTTCTATGATTTGAACCCATGTCCTCACAGCATTAATCTGGCACCCTCTGCGGATTACTGACCCAGTGATAATCCTGTAGTGATTGTGATGTGGACCTCCATAGAGTATGAGTTCCCTGATTGGGGCTGTTAACCTGGTCCAATCAGGGAGCCCTGGCTGACATTTCACTTCCCTTTCGAAACGGGAACTGGGTGCAGTGAAAGTGTTTGTGTGTTTTTAGCGTGTGGGGGTATCAGCGTTGGACAGAACGATAGACCCATCCGGCTGATCGATGCCGCGTTACACAGGGATTGCTGCCGTTTTCGCTCAGCGTGGGCGTACGTGCGGAAGTGAGTGACCCATCACCACTGATGTCCAGCAACTGGCCAGGACGCTCCGTGACCCGCAGCAGATATATTCACAGAGCTGAGCGGGGATTATTGAGTGAAAATTACAGTGTTAATTCAGACTCGTTTCTCTTCCCTCCTTTTATATTTTCAACGCGTACCAATAGTCACCAGCTTTTAGCTGCGAAATAATTTGCAAAGTTAGTCACCTACGTTCAGTTTTTTTCCTGTTTTTTTTGGCTGACCAAGTCTCTGATCTAATTCATTCTTTCGTTTCTTTTTTTTTTTTCTCTCCCCACAACAGTTTCGAACCACCCAACTACAAGCCCCCTCCCCCGAAGAAGAACTTGGACGAAACTGAGAAGGTATTTGTTTCCACGTGAAATTCTGTTTCAAGGGAAATGACTCGCATTGACGTAGCGCTTCCCACTCCCTCGGTGCATCCCGGAGGTTTCCACAGCCAGTGCGGGACTTTCTGAAGCATGGTCGTTGTTGCTAGAGTGTGGGAAATGCCATGCTCCGGGCTGTGCACAGTAAGATCCCACAAGTGAGGATGTGAGAATCAGCTGAGGAACCAGTTTGGTTGAGTTGATTTGAGAGAGAGAGAGAGAAATGTTGGACCAGGGTTCCCAGGAAGGGTTCCTTTTCCTGCTCCCTTCCCAGTCCTGGGTGGTGAAGGTCTGTTACATCTGGGCTGGCTTAATGTCCTAGTCAGTTATCTGGCAGTGCGGCCCTCCCTCGCCGCTGACCCTCCCTCACCACTGACCATGTCGGTGTGTGTTTGTGTTCTGGTCTATGTCCTGGGGTTTGGGGGACATTCAGCGAGGAGTGAGAACGTGCCGACGATGGGGCTGAAACCTCCAGTGCCCCCAGCAATATGACCACGTTCCCTTCTCGATTTTCAGTTTGTGTTCCTGTCTAGGTTCTGAAAACAGAAGACGAAGAGATGGAAAGCATTCCTATTAACACAACCTACTTTGAGACTGGCACAGAGGACGATAATCGAATGGTAAGTGTCATGTTGGCAGCGTCACCCCTGCTTTCAGTACAGAGATAGTGAAAGGACTTAGTTTGATTATAACAGTGAAGAACATTGATAGAGGTTAATGACAATTTTAAACGGGGAGCCGGAGGCGAGGGGCGATTTAGATTAATCAGTGAAGGTGGATGGTCAGACAGATGGGGTGGGGTTGGAGAGGATTGAGAGTGATTCTGAAATGGCACTTTTTACCGTCGTTCAGTCAAATGCAGATACTTGCTCTGTCCCTAATGGTGAGTGGTTGATCACTATGTTGTAGGGCTTCCAGAGGGAGAGGTGTAGGGGCTGGAGGAGGTGTCAGAGACAGGGAGGGGGGATGTAGGGTCTGGAGGAGGTGACAGAGACAGGGAGGGGGTGAGATTACAGTTGTTTTGATGACGATGCTATGGTGACGAGGAAGCCACTTTGGAATGGGGTGAGGGCAGAGGTGGTAAGGGATGAGCTGTCGCTGGATGGTGAGGAACGGGTATTGGCTGTCTTATCCTCGGGACTTATCCCCAATCCACCCCTCTCTCTTCCCCCTGACCCAGTATTACAACGAGCCGGAAATGATCACCAACCTGAAGTCTGCTAATGTCGCTGTGCCCCCTGGGGACTACCTGGAGCAGGAGAACCCCATTTACAACGACTTCTCATACACCGAGCCTGAGGAGCACCGCAAGAGCCAGGAGTTTGTGTCGAAGGGCATGTACGTGTAGGCCTCAGGCCTCTCCAGGCAAAGACCACTACCCCCCCCCCAACCAATGCTCCCATCAACAACCCCCCAATCCATTCCAACCTCGCTATTTGCCTTAACACTAACAGGCTGCACTTTCCTTCTCTCTTCCTGACTAACACCAACCTTTTTTGGGGGCTGGTAGGGTGGGGGTGGAGAATTATTAATCCTTGGCATTTTTTTTAGGAACTTGTCACACTCTCCTCGGGGCATGGATAGTTGGTGGGGAACTGCTGAGCTGAGATTAAACACTTTTTTTTTATGCCCTTCGGCAAAATACTACACCCCAACACCCACCCCTTTCAAACCCGTACCCCACCCCCTTCCATCGGTGCCCCCACCCAATCGCAGATACTGGGCCTCAGGCCCTAATTTACGGCCTGATGGTCGCACTGTACACAACCAAGCCCGAGTTTGGGTTATGGGGGTAGGCTCTGTGCTTGTGGGGTTTTGGTGGGGAAATAAACGGGGAGATGGTTTTGTGTCAGGGCTAAACCCCTCTCAGTCCCTGTTCTCCCCCCACACCTGTAATGCTCATTTCTCAAAGGAAGGCTTGTAATATCAGATCTTGCCCAAAACACGCCACTTCGGGAAGCTCAATAGCTGGTCAACGCTAGTGGGCGACTACAATTCCCCTAACCCTCGCCGTTAGCAACTGCTGCTCCCAGTCTCACTCCTTAATCGTTCTCCCAATGTCTCTCTATCCCTCTCTGACCCCACATTCCCTCACTCTCAGCTCATACACTCAACCTCATCTTTGATTGAGGGAGGGGTGGAAGAGAGAGACTACACTTTGACTCCTGCCCTGTCTGAAGCTACAGCTGATTTATAGGCCAACAGGGTGACCATGGACTATCGCGAGGGTCCTCGGGGTGGGCTGTGGGCAGAATGGGGCATTGGCGAGGTCAGCGGGCATGTGGATAGGGTGGGGGGGTGGAATTGAGATGCAGGGAGGAGGACACGAGCGATTGTGGGGCACTGATGGGGCATAGCAATTGGGAAGACAACCAACAGCCCTCCAACTCCCATTCCCAAAGGGTGAGGGGAACTCCTCATCACAGAGGAGCCCACTCAGGTCGCTGCGCTCTCTCTCTGTTCACCTCAACTGAGCTCTGGGATTGGTAAAGGAAATGGAATTGATATTTAACACTCGCTGAGCTCAGAGGAGCCCACAGTATTAAGGAGAACTGACAATTTAATCTTCCTGAAGTCTGATACTGTGTAAAGTGCCACAAGGATAGGCTGCAAGTATATTTAAGAACCAGAAGCGATTTTTAAACATCTGGGATGGCAACTCCCTCATTTTCTTATCTGGAATTTAGACTTAATCCAATTTAAATTTCATTATCATCCTGCAGAATGATTTTTTTTGTTGTTTAATTTAAAATCTGCTTTGTATTTTTAAATCCACTTTTCTGAGGAGATGTGACAGACCCTGGAACTGATGGCCTCTTGTTCTGAGCTCCTCATTCGCCCAAAACTCCCTGTTCTTTTTTTCCTTTAAAATGTAATTACAGGAGAAATTTAAAAGATCATGGGCCTCGTGAAACATGAAAGGGTTAGATCAGAAACAACAGGACAAGAAAATGAATAGGGAGGCAGAAATCTGCATTTAAATTCCCTTTTGGATATCCAGTGGAGAAATCTATTCTAGAATTAATGCAGGGGCAAAGCAGCCAGCCTGTTTATCATCTGTGCAGGTTCTTTTTTGAGAGATGTCTCCAATTAGTCCCACTTTTTCCCCCACTCTCTGCTTTTTTTACTCCCCACATCCCTACAATTATTTCCCCCCTTTTTTTTTTACTGAAAGTTCCTGTTGAATCTGCTCCCTGTCAGTCCCAGATCACAACTCGCTTCGTTGAAAAAATACATTTTCCTCTTCCTTTTTCCCCAACCCTTGACTCCTCTGGGTCTTTTCCTGATTCTCTCTAAACCATGTCCCACTGGTGACTGACCCTCCTAGCCCTGGGAGCAGCGCCTCCCTCATCGACTTGAGAGAATCCCCCCCCCCCCCAGAGTATCCTGAAGGCCGTGATTCTGTCTCCCCCCTTAACCTTCCCCCTTCCAAGGGGAACGATCCCAGTTTCCCTGTGCATGAGCCCTGCTCCCTCATCCCTGGGACCATTCTAATAAATCTCCTCCGCAGCTTCCCCAAGTGCTTGATCTCCTTCCTAATGAGCCTGGGCTGCCTCTCTCAGCCTTGCAAGGAAGGAAATCCTTTTTTTTAATCCTGCCCTGCGTTTCCTGATTGGTTGTAAATATTCTCACTTCAGTCTAGCGGGCAGAAACAATAGCTGCTCAGGCAAACAAGACACTAGCTCATCACTACAGCGTTAACTCCACTACAGTGTTCCCATTTTTTTCTATTTGTATACAACACGGAAGGAAGACTTGATTGATTGATTTAAAACAGAAGATTTGAGGATGATGGCAATTTCTTGGACTGTACTTTCTAAACTTCGGGACCTCGTGGCCATCTGAGGCTAGAATCCTGTTATCGGACTGTGAGTGGCTGCGTACCTGTGGTGCGAGACGGAATTTACTGCCCACAAAGTATTTCAGAACAAAACCGGTTTGGGGAGTTCCTGGTTCGCTTCTCTGAGTGTGAAAGCACAGTGTTCTTTTTTCACCCCTTTCTCTCGGTGAGAAAACCTCACTCGCTTTTTAAAGGGCAGGCCTCCTCGCTCACTGCTGCCAACTTGCACACAGCAAGATCCCACGTACAGCAGATTGCTGGCAACTCACTCCACTGACAGGAAGAACAGAAGTTGTCCCCAGGAGACTGGGACGAACCACATCTCCCCCACCCCAGCTCCTGACCCTCCGACAGCGCGGCGCTCCCTCAGCACTGACCCTCCGACAGTGCGGCGCTCCCTCAGCTCCTGACCCTCCGACAGTGCGGCGCTCCCTCAGCGCTGACCCTCCGACAGTGCGGCGCTCCCTCAGCGCTGATACTGAGGGAGCGCCGCATTGTCTCTGTGTCTGAACTCTGCTTCCAAGCATTTGAGAAAATATTCCCATGTCTCTCTGAAATCTATGAAGCACTTGAGCCTGATGGTTAATATTTTGTCAGGAAATAACACTAGCTGGTTGGCGCATTGGTCAATGACTCATATTTCTAAACATCGTCCTTGCTGCAAAATAAAATGAACCTTGGAGCTGACTTGCTCCAAACAAGGTCCCACTCCTCAATGCCTGTAGAGTAATGCTGCCATCTGGTGGTGACTGCTATGGACACCATTCAGCTTTGGATTCTGTGTTAATTCACGAATCCCTTTTGTAGTACTATGTAACAGTCAAATGTACAAAGCTGCTTTACAGGAGTGTTCATAAGACACCATTTGGTAATGAGACTCGTAAGGAGAATTTCAGATGGGTGACTTGGTGAGAGATGTCACCTGTAGGGAACAGCTTTGATAGTGAGACAACAAGGTGCAGGCCAAGCAGCATCATAGGAGCAGAGAGGCTTTGATAGTGAAGTGGGCATGGGGTCGTGCCGAATGCTGTTTAGTGAACTCCACAGCGACCTGTTATTTTCCACACAGCCACTTCATGAAACCCAGAAACATCGCTGCTGCTTTTTATAGTTTTTTTTTCTGGCGCATTTAATTGAATTGCGATCCTGCCAGAGATACTACAAGATGTGAATACTTCATGTTCTGTGATGCAGTTTATTGTGATTTCTGTAATTAATCAAAGTGACACGATGTGGGATTAAAGCGCCTTTGAATTTTGCTGCTGATTATCATCCTAATAAAATATTTGTGTGTGTGTGTGTGTGTGCGTATTTGCAAACTGTGATGGAATTCAAGACTTAGCACTATTGCTGCGAGGATGTGCCAGAATTAACGTCGGTAGTTCTGAATAAAATTACTAACACTGTCAAAGTCCCGGTCAGGCTAACTCTGCAGGAAATATTTTGTATATCTTGGCTGAGTTTTAAGTTGTCTTTTTGTACGCAATAAACTTTTTCTGTATTTGTAGGATGTGTGGGGTTTTACTTGGGAATTGCGGTGCATGACACGGCCAGCAGGGGGTGGGAGGAGACCATGCCAAATGATTGTAAAATACACAATGCCTTTCCTAGACTTGGCAAGAATTTGCTAGATTCCAGTTGAATCACACCTATCCTCTCATAGTGTGCCAAATCACTTTTAAAAACATGATTCATCGTCTACTTTGCAGCAACAAGACTTTGCATTTCTGTAGCCACTTTGAGACAGCAAGATGTCCCAAGTCTTGTGGAATACAATTTGACGCTGTGCTGCGTGACAAAGAAAGGTTTCAGTCAAAGAGGCAAAGAGAGAGAGAGAGATGTGATGGAGTTTCGGGAGGGAATTCCAGAGCTCAGGACCCTGGCAAGCTGAAGATATGGGTCCAAGTGGCAGAGTGATGGGAACCGTTGGATGGGGGAGAGAGAAGGGTGATGCTCAAGATGCTGAGATTAGAGGAGGTTTGGGAGATAGGGAGAGTGTATAGGGTCTGCAGGAGAGGGTGACAGAGACAGAGGTAGGCAGGGATGGAGTGCAGGAGGGTGTGAGGGAGGCAGGGACACAGTGCAGAGGCTGCAGGAGGGGGTGACAGAGATGGTGAAAATTCCTGAGGTTACACAGCTGGTGAGTTCTGAGGCAATGGGGGGGTTTGGACAGAAGGTTGTGAATTCTGAAATAGAGGTGTCCCTGAACGGGGAGCTTGGTGTCTGAGAACAACGCAGTAATGAGTAAATGGGTTCAG